GCCTGAAGATACAAATGGCTACTGCGAGACATTGAGACAATATATATAGAACATCATGAATATGGATAAGATAGAGCGATAAGAATATAAGGACAAAAATATCACTCATTGGATAAAAAGCATCAAAAAAGCAAAAAACTAACGGTGCAGCTGACTATAAAATGCCAGTAATACATACCTGAATACACACGACTGATGATATCCTGCAAAGCGAGATAATGACTTTAGAGGAAACCACCCATCAATAGAAGGATCCACAATTCTTGATAATGCATTGATGGTCATAAGGCGTGTGACTGGCCCACTGACTAAGTATTGCTTCTGGCACGAGACCTGTGAACTGACAGAGAGACAAAGCAGAACCTTTTACAATGTAGTCTTTAGATGAGAAGTAAAAGAGACCTAAAAGTTTCTCATAAAAGCATTTTTCTACGTTCACTATGGTTTGGCGTCCAGTAAGAAGCTCTACTAACAAGGCGAACTGTAAAAACATCACTTCGATCTGTATAAACAGGATCCCTGAAGCTCACTAATTTTCTGGGGCCTCATAACCAAAAGGTGTTCTTGAATCACCATGAAAAACTGAAACAAAAGTATGCAATGGCTTATATGATAATGTATAGATTTTGTTACCTAATGGATTTTTAGCTCTTGTTCACTTTAGGATCTCTTTTATTCGAATCATCTGGTAACATCATTTAGCATATTTCAAACTTGAGACAAGTTAAATAACGTTATCCTCATTCTATGTCATCTTAAAATATAACATTCATTCATTGTAATACATCATCAACATAAAGAACCCAAGCTCTATTTTCCATTCTAGGATCAAACGGAACATCAGATCACTCAATTTGCTATTCAAAAGCTTGGTATTTTGAAATCGTCAATTATCACACCATGAAACGGCAGCTAAATTTATATAGCAGCAGTTTAGCTCGTTAACAAAGATGGAATACAGTGAAAGTGGTTGAACCTGATACCAGTTTGTAGAACATAGACAAAGAGAGAACTAAACAGAAGAAGACACGACACCGCGGTTATCAAGGACAATTTAGTATACTGGGTATTTGGTTATTTCTTATTTATTTGCATCACAAAGACTAATATCCAAAACATGTGAACAATATTAATTATTACACGTGTTTGGCTGAAGAGAAATTAGTTTTTTCACCAGGTGTTTGGGGCTGAAGAGAAATTGAGTGAACAATATTTTTTTCTTTCTTGTTTGGTTGAATTAGAAATTGAGTTTTTGTTTCTTGTGAGGGGAAATCTGACTGGCGTTATGATCTAATTAGTTTTTTTTCTTTTCATTCTCACTTGGGGTGGAGGGAATTGCCAGTGAGAGTGGCATCTGTTTGAAATTTCTAGCGAATTCATTAAATATTATAATTACATGTGAAACAAAATGCATTTTGGGAAAACAAATTCCTTCCAAATATCCTTTCAAAAGAAAACACACCCTAAACTATCAAGAACATTCATGATAAATCGCAAGGCATAGGTTACTATCTCTCTGCATTGCTTACCGTGGGTAAAGAGTTGGATAATACATCTGACAGCCAGGCCAACTTCAAGAAATGCATACTGCAAGCTCATGCTCATCATCAAGTAGAATACTGGAGGCTTCTAGGTTTCTGAGTATGACGGGAGGCTTGCAGGACTCATGTAGGTACCTTCAAAAAAAGAGAGAATGCATTCACGACATGGTCATAAATTTTAGGATGGATATAGTTTTACCGAGAAAAAGCTCAAAGAACAAACTCTATGGCTCTGGCAGCAGCAAGCGCAATTTGAATTCGAGCATTCCATGATAATCTCTTCTTACTAAAATCATAAAGCAAGTCATTAAGTGTAGTTCTGCTGAAGTATTTAAAGATAAGCAGCCTCTGTCCAAATTCAGAACAATAGCCCTCAAGCTTAATGATGTTCTGATGTTGAAGTTCTGAGATGCGCAACACTAACTCATGAAAGTCATCAGTATTGATGTTTGAAGTCAGATTATTGAGCTTCAGGACTGTTAATAGCTGGAAATGAATCATAGTTGATCCAATCAAATTATTAACATCCTAAATATGTTAACATAATCAAATTAAGCTAATGAAAAATCATGAAGATGGGAATAATGCACTTTCTCCCCAACCTAAACATCAGCATTTATGTTTGAGGCTAAAGCTCCATTATTATTAGTAAAGAAGAGGATTTGTTTTAGGAAAAATATGTATGCTCACACATGCATTAAAGATGATAACACAAGTTTTCTTTCTGATAAAGTTAACTTATTAGGGGAGAGGCTTATAAATCATATAAACAAATTTTGTCATGTTATAGAAACTGCTCAGCTTTGGATAATTTTACTTATTTTCTCCCATGAATAGACAATATTAATGTGAGAGATAGTTACACTAAAAAAGGTTTTGCACTATTAGACATGTAAGGACAGAAAATAAATAAAACATGGTAAAAAAGTTTTTTTCAGTAAACAGTAAAACTAAATAACATTTCCAGTCCACATAAAAGCCAGCCATTCTTATATGTGGTGAGGGAAAAAATATGGACACACATTACAAATTGTTATGGTTATGAGAAACATTAATGGCATATGCCCCTCACGTATATTGAAGGAGGAAAGGCTTTCATTCAGCTTTACCAGTTTATTCTCTCCACTAACTCAGTTATATAATACTATATCATGTTCTGCATGCCTTATTTTCTTATTCACCTTCAAAAGTCATGTTTCGCCTGACAAGCTCCCACTCTAAGAAGTTCTCGAGGAATTAATCATCATATGTTGCACACAATAAACAAGATTTCCTACTTATAATTACAAAAGTTGAACAAAAAACAAAGAAAAACTCTTTTTACCACCATCATATTATATATTTAACTATCAAAGAGCACCCTGTGTAAAATTCTATCTTTAAATGGCCTTATGCCCTACATTCAAATAATAAAATATTTAGAATAAATTTATATTTTTAATAAAACATTTAGCTATTCAAAAAATTAGCAAATATAATCTGATAAAACATTAAAAGCCATTTAGTTGTCAGATATTGAAGGAAATTAATTAAAAATAAAACACAAAGAAATTTAATCAGTAGATACCTTGCCCTCAGACAGCTCTGCCATATATACTCTTCCCAAATAAGAGCTTCTGATCAGATTTTCTTCTCCAAAATAATTGGTATACTGCTGAAGCGAAGCAACAGAAAAGGATGTCACAGAAGCTGGGAGAGTACAATTTCTTTTTAGAGGCATTGCTTTGTCAAAAGAAATATAATCTTTTTCTTTGTACAAGGGGGCAATGGGTTTTGCAGCAACTTTTTCAGCCATAATGGGCCTCAGCCCTGCAGAAGTTTCAATCATATGAGCTTCATGTTCATTTTGTTTCCCGAGAGTGTTCCCATAAACTACCAGAAATATTTGCAGATCCACAAAAAAAAAGAACCAAGAAAAAAACACAGATGAGTAATTAAAATGAGTATAAAGAAAGATAAAACATGTTAAACCGGATGGGTTAGACATTTAAGCAAATTAATGAACTTACAATCTTCTTTCTTGTAATTTGATGCAACCAAACCAGTAGTGCTTAAAGGCTGCTTGGTCATTTTAGGTGCCCTTTTTTTATGACACTTGGGAATGAGCTCACGCTTGAGGTGTCGTTCTTGCAACTTCAATGTACAAAATAGAGCAAGGAGAACTGCAATTATAACTAGTACCACAGCAACAACATAAGCAATGACCCTCATGGTTGAATTTTTTCTAACAGTCGAGCTTGTTCCACCATGGTGAGTAGGTGCACCATGGCGAACGGGTGCATCAGAATAAGGGGAAGGAACAGGTGCAACTAAGGAAGGAAATGCCTGAATTGGTGCTGGTTCTGGAGCAACTGTTGTATTAAATGGATTTCCGTTCGATCTGCACATCATATGAAATTGCTTCTGAATCATAATCATATAAACAAGGCAGAAATTACTAATTTCCTATGCCAGTATGGAAAGATAATCAAGCCAAATCATAGCACTTACTTGAAATTTGGAATATTCCAGAGCTTCTCTGGAACAGGTCCAGAAAACAGATTATTCTCAATGTCCCTGTTTAATAGCAGACAGGAAGCATTCTGGTAAGCTAAAAGAAACAAATTTGTGGAAACTGGTGATAAAAAAATTAAAGAAAAAGAAGTTGAACAATGCACAAAAAAGGATAAATAGCAGGTAGAGGAAATACAAATCCATGAGGGGTAGATCTTGCAAAACATCAAGGGTTCCAGATATATGATTATCCTGTATATGTCTGCATATAGAAAATGATACTCAACCTTGTTGAATCTAAAGGAAAAGAGAAAAGAAAAAAAAAAATCAAAGCGTCGAATAACTTACAAGGTAGTCAGCGATGACAAGCTGGTGATTGAGGGTGGTAAAGGACCATTCAAATTGTTAGAAGAAACATCCCTGAGTTTTTACACCAAATTACACAGATGGAAACTCAGATATAAAAGAAAAGGAAAAAGTATCTTGGAAATGTAAAAGGAAATAATAAAAATAAATGTAAAAGGAAATAATAAAAATAGAACTCGAGGTATAAAAAGTGATTACAAGTTCACTAGACCAGTAAGGGACTGGAAAGCATCAGGCAGTTCTCCATTTAAGGAGTTTTCATTGAGTGACCTGAAAATGAAGTGGGGATTTACAAGTTCAAAAATTATTTTCAATAGATAAAATGTAAAAGGACAATTCTGAATTGTGGAGCGGAATTACATGTCAGAAAGGAGAGTTAAATCTGCCAAAGAACTTGGGATCCTTCCCGTGAGTTGGTTGGATGACAGAAAACTAACAGAATTGAAGAATTCTCACTATCAAAGCTAATATCAATATGAAAATGGGGGCATCATAAGCTGCAAACAGGTGCAATTCAATAACAAATAAAACATACAATTGCCTTAGAGTAACTGGCAAATTTGTTGGAATGCTTCCACCAATATGGTTATTGCTAAAATCTCTGCACCAAAATGAGATATATGATGAAAACAGCACTAATTTCATCGAAAAAAATGAAGGAATTCTAAACGAGCATGAATTTACAAGTTTGAACTATTTCAAGGCATGCAAAGAAACAAATTCATCCAGTGCTAAGAGTAAACACTTACAATGTAATAATAGAAGTAAAATTTCCAAGCATATCACCTAATTCTCCACCAAGATTTGCATCATTGATAACTCTGTCAATATAAAAAAAGAAGCAATTACCATTGTAGTTTCAAACATACTACAGGAATATCAGCAATAATTACATAAAATTACTATACATTGCAGTTATATTTGGCCCAACACATTGGACGCCTTGCCATCCTTGAAGGCAAGGATCCCCTCCGAAAGGGGTCCATCCAGGAAGAAGGGGATGCCCAAGTGCCGCATGCAAGCTACTAATAGCATAGACTGCGAGCAAACAAGTTAAAATATTAGCTGAACTAGTAATTTTGGAGTCCCCTTAGCACAAAAAAAAAAAGTTTCAAATAGTATGCTTCTTCAGAACATTTTAAATCTAAGAAAAAAGAATCATTAGCATAAAACGGATCTTAGAAAGGCATCCAGCACTCGTATTGAACAAAAACGTGCAAAATGCATATTACTTCAAAATTTAAAATTTCTGTATATCATAGAACTAAATTAATATAGCAAAACACAATGTCACAATTGGTTACCGTTATGAATAAGAGCATGCCCGGAGATGGATTGATGAGGATGCAAATATAATATGTTCTATCACCACACAACCTAAACAAACATACTAATAACTTTCATATCTCTACGAGAAAAATGAATCTATATATTTTTTTTCTACCAAGTAGGGCTTCTCTCAGTAGCAATAATAAAACTAGGTATTAATTCACCCAGTAAAACATCCTCAATTTTGTAACCGTTAGCTAGAATCTGCTTACGACATCCATAACTGTTGATCAAGATAGCTTGTGACATGACTGTACAAGTTAATATGGAAGTTGTTCTACAAGCATGACTATAAATTGGCTTTTACCTAGAGCGTATAATCTGATTTAATGAAAATTTACTTCTTAAATATGCACCAATGCGCGAACATCTGATATCATCCGAGGCAATACATTACATTATTAGATTGCGACTGATTTGTAACAGGATCCTCTAGCTCAACAAGCGTTTGGAGCTGCCTAACAATTTCTGTACAGATCTTGGCATTTGTGCAATTCCAATGCAAACCAACCATGCTCCACATTTATATCTATTTAATCTAAAATAGCTTAAAATATGGATAAGAGACACCCTCATTTGCTCTTCCCCCTTTATCTTCAACCTTCTCTCGCTTTTATAGTCTGGCTACATCATTGCCTTGGGACAAGTAAATCAAGATTATGAGAGATGATGACTTAAAGCCAAACTAACAAAAAGTCTCCTATACAAAGTAAATGATAAATTCCACGCAGACAACCTGGGAAAAGCGAGAGTAAACAAATAAGGCCAATTATAGATGAAAAAGGCATAAGACCAATTACAAATAAGTAGGAACAAGATTAGTTATAAATAAGAAGACTACAAAACCAGTTGTTAATTGAATTCTATGTAGGAAATTAAGCAAATATTTAATTTAAAGAAAGTCAAAGACCAAAAAAGTTAGCTTTGGTTGTGAGTGAGAATATATATGACCCAAAATAACTAATGAGAAAATACTATGGTTTTCAAATGTAATAATATATTACAGATTGATTTATATAGATAGCAATTCTAAAAATTTATGAGCTTTAATTTGAATATTACTAATAAAAAATCAAAATTTTAAACACCCAAAACTCACCCAAATTTTCAACCAAAATTCACAACCCTTCAGATCCATGCAACCCTTATATTTGGGATGCATGCATAGGAATCCTTGGTTTCTAAGCAAGCGTTCATTTGTTATATATATGAAAGTATTGGCTAAGGGGACATATCCCTTGCTTCATCATCTTCTTCAATGCTCAGTTCATGTACACTGACGATTATGAATTCTTAGAGAAGGGTGGATTAGAAATTTAGACAAACAATTTTGGCAAGGGTCTTGTGGTGCAAGCAAGGAGAAGATATTTATGAGGTAACATTTGGGCTTCATCTTTGTTAAGTGTAGGTTTAATTAGATCTGAGAAGGAATTATGAATGTCCTAGTATTGTGTGCACCATGTTAGTGAACTTTTTGTTTGGAGGATCGGATTCTCTCTCCTTCTCATAGACATAGACTTGACTGAAGTTGAACCACATAAATCTTAGTATCTCTACCTCTGTGTTTGAGATTTGTTTATGTTTATTTATGGCCATCATATTCTCTCTTACTGACCCTTCCACATCTTGTTTTTTTGTTTTATCTTTATTGCATGCTAGAGAATTCATAGGTTTTATTTTTTCTCTAGCAAATTGATTTCAATGACATCATATAGCATTCCTTCTATGCATAAGACTAGGTAAAGGGCACTCAATTGAGAATATTACTTCACCCCTTCCAACATTCACCACTTTCATGAAAAATATTAGTAATCTTATATCCATAGAGGCAAGGTACTAAAACTATTGCAAAATGAAGGCTTTACAAATTAAAGGAATTCATGGAAATGAGATTCTCAAAAGTGCATATAACAAAAAGCACCATAACCACCACTCATCTCCACATACTGCACAAACCATCACAAATATATGATTGCCTTAACAATAAATTTTTGAGAAGTCATAATATAAGAGTTAAACATAAAAAAGATGAGAAAGTTCGTAGAAGTTTATTATGATGCAAGCCATTATCCCAACAACATCACTTTCAGGTTACATGGATCTAGGAAGTAAAACAATAGAAGCAGATATTGCAATTTACCATCTTCTTCACATGTGTATCCTGAAGGAAAAGGTATCGCAACAACAATGACCAAGCAAAGAGCAAAAATTGATATCATCCTTAGTTTCAAGTCAACCATTTTCCAAGACTTCCTTGTATATCAAGACAGTAGATGCACCTATCCAGCGTTTTACAAGTTAAACAAATAATTTTAATCAATGACAGATATCACTGAGACTACAGTCTATTAATGAAATAGAGAAGCAAACAAAATATGGCGGAAATAAAGAATAGTTAAAGCTTTAAATGAGTGTTCAATTGTTAGTGTTTTATTATTGCTTTGTGGCAGCAAAACTGTCCCAAACACTTATTCGGGAAAAAATTGTTGGCCAGCTTTTAAAAATTTTTGAGAGAAGTCGAAGCCCAATGGTAGGAGTCCTTGAAGCCATAATATGATATACTATCTAGATATGTCAAAAGGAAAGATAAATAAAAAAGAAATTGAAAAATCAAGATATATCTTTACCGAGTATTCGGACATATCACCCGCTAAAAAAAATTTGAGCTTGGCAGTTAACATAACTACGAAATTACCAACTTTTTTATGGTTTTAAATTCACTTTAAGAGATTTAAAATAAACAAAGAAATAAGATAATCATTAGAACAACTTGCCAGAGAGCTTGTTCAAAAGCTTCCAACCACCCTTCCTTTAGATACTCCTCTTTTATAGCCGTGTTAAGGGGATGACTAAAGAAAATCAATAATTTTCCTCTACTTGATACAAACGTATCAATTCTACCTCTTTAAATAGAAATCTTTCTCCCACATCACTAATTTTCTTCTTTTTTTAATAACTTCTTTCTTTTACTGCTTTGGGTTCTCAAAAGGAGTGTAAGGTTACATAGAATGCCGCTCTCAGCTTTCTACAGAGGAAGACCTTCAATCGCTCCTTTTTTCTGGCTTTCATTTCCCAACTAATTTAATTTACTTCATAATAATTCCTATACTATAAACATTCCCATTGACAATCGCGACTTATATTTCCAACTATATTTTACTTTTCTTACGAAATCTTTTCTTTTGTTAAAAAAAAATCCAACATTTTCTTTACGGCACCAGAAGATAGAAAAACTTTTAACATAAGAAAAAGGAAAAAATGAAAAACCAAAATAACAAAACACTAGCAAGGAAGGTAACCCTAAACTTCAGGAGATAAGCATTCCCAGCATAATTAGTACCAACTATAGCATTCCTAAGAAACAAATAGCCTCGTAGACATTAAATGTTAACAAAACCTGCGAATCAAATCCCAAAAATCTCACCTTTACTCAAACTCAGAGAAGCCTCAAGCTTCCTTCAACCTTCAGTTGCGGTACGAGAGCAGCAGAAATTAACCAGAGTAAGAAACGAAAAGGGCGAG